CACACAAAGACAGGCTGACAGAACTCAGCTGCACTCATGGTAACTAGACGGAAGCCTTAAATAAATAAATAGTTTAAATAAAACATGAAATTGTTTTCAGCTTTGAATACAAATTGAATGATTAAAATTGTCTACAAAGCAAAGGGAAAGTGCAGTTAAATGAGGGTGTTGGCGAGGTAATGACGGCGGAAGCTCTCCCCCTAGGCGATGCCAACGAGAGCGCGGAGGACGCGTTTGTGCGGCGCGCGCGGGAGGGAATGGGCGGAGACGAGGCGCAGTTCAGCGTGGAGATGCCGCTGACGGGCAAGATGTACCTGTGGGCCGACAAGTACCGTCCGCGCAAGCCGCGCTTCTTCAACCGCGTGCACACGGGCTTCGAGTGGAACAAGTACAACCAGACGCACTACGACTTCGACAACCCGCCGCCCAAGATCGTGCAGGGCTACAAGTTCAACATCTTCTACCCCGACCTCATCGACAAGCGCTCCACGCCCCAGTACTTCCTGGAGCCCTGTGCCGACAACAAGGACTTTGGCGTGCTGCGGTTCCATGCTGGGCCGCCCTACGAGGACATCGCCTTCAAGATCGTGAACCGCGAGTGGGAGTACTCTCACCGGCACGGCTTCCGCTGCCAGTTCGCCAACGGCATCTTCCAGCTGTGGTTCCACTTTAAGAGATACCGGTATCGCCGATAAAGAGACCAGCAGAAGCGCACCTGCAGTGTGGACTGTGCAGGGCGAGGGCGGCGGGATGCTGGTGTGATGGCCACTGGAGTTTCAGTGGAGCTTGCAGTTCGGGTATAGTTTAGCCAACTTAAGGCGTGAATTATTATTAAATACTGTGACTTCAACAGGAATAAAGAAATTGTCTACTTTTGAAAATCTTGTAACCATTCATTGGTAGGGACCAGTATAACTCCCACCTTGGTCATTTTGAGTTTTTTTTAATAAAGTCTTTTTAAAAGTGATATGTTATGAAATGGGTATGTTCTAACTGACTATCAGGTAATAGGTAATACCACCTGGTGAGACAGAGGGCTGTGGATTGTGAATGTTTGAGTGAAAGGTGACTCCTACTGGCTGCTCCTGGAACAGCACAGAGGAGAGAGACTGTGGAAATACAGGCTTTGACTGCAGGCTGTGGCTCCCCATTCCTGGCAGCACAGAATAGTACTTGCACAAGTGGTGCATAAAAACATCCAGGAGTAAAATCTGTTACAGTCTTGAATGTTTATTAATGAGTAACAAAAGAAAAATAACTGATCTACAGCGAATCATAAACTAATGTTTAAAAGGACATCAGGAATCTGAGTATACATTCTTTAAACCCCGTGACCCTTGTAAAAGAATTGATACTCTGGCAGAAAAGTATTGAAACAATACATGCAGTGTAGCAAATCAGACTAATTGTCACACTGTGAGGAGAGTTAAGCAGGTATGAATTATAAAAAAAAATGGACTCAGAAAAATATTTTAAAAAAATAATGTAATACTGGAATCAAAAAATCTTTCTGAAACCAGAAAAAAACAAGTCGACTTGCTGTCCTCATTTTATAATACTGTTGTTCAGCACTCTTTGTGAAGTTCTCTGGACCGCCCGGGTATAGAGAGGGGCCCAGCCCTTGCTGCCCCTCTGGAGTCTGTGTGCTTACCACTCCGCTCACTAAGAGACACGGCACCTGCCCTGGCCAGAGAGGGGCTCCGGAGCTGCCCTCCGCAGTGAGCCACAGCCCCACTGTAGCAATAAGTGAACTATTCACAGAAACCGTAAAAACATTTCAAACTCTGAAGCTTGCAAAGGGACCTTAATAAATACATTTTTTATAGCACTGTAAACTTGCAAAGTACAATATAACTTTAAATGCTTTCAGTCCGTCTGGACTGAAGGACACAGACCAAACTTCCACAGGGCAGGAGCCTGATCTGCTCCTGGCTTTACCTTCTACTAGAACACGCCAGAGTAACAATGAAGAAAAGATTATTTTTTCACTTTACATCTGGTTATATCAGTTAATCCACAGAGGAAATCAGTTTGTCAGCTTCTTTATGAGAGCCTGCAGCTACAGATAGCAGGGATGGGTCACCGCTGTGCACCAGTCCAGAGCAGGTTCGGCCTCCGTTGGCCTACAGAGTGATTTCCAGCCCCAGCAGCTGGCAACTGCTCTGTCCTGACACACTCTCTCTAACTGCACGAGTCACCTTTTACTGTATTGCAGCCTCTTCTGCCTTGCTAATCGAAAATGATTTGTCTGAAAGTGGCCTAGTGACCAGTGAAACAGAGCGGAGTTCACCTACCCTTTGCACAGCAAGGCAACGAGAGCTGGATGTCACTGCTGCTCAGTGATAGGCCTGTAAAGGCTGTACACGCATAAAAAATAAACGTTTTAAAAAAATCAGCTGCCTCCATTTCTAAAACAGCACATTGAGAAGTAAGGACTCTGTCTGTCTGCTCTGTCAGATTTCAGACTCGTCATCGATGAACTTCAGGTCGTCCAGGGGAGAGAGGAGCACAGTGGGCGGACGGGTGGAGGCTCCGTTCGTGGCGACAGCAGTCCGGCCGCGGTTGTTGTTGGTGTTATCGTTGTAGCCCTGGACCAGGGACGTGGCCTCGGGGAGCCCCTTGGGTGTGAAGGGCACCTGGTGTGCTGTGGAATCCACCTGGCCGCCTGACAGCTGTCTGGGCCTCAGGGAGCTCTTGGCTCGCCCCTGCGCCGCTCCCTTGCAGCACTGCATGGAGATGTGGCCTCTGTACAGGTTCCACATCAGCAGGGCAGCCAGCAGGGTGGTCAGCAGGGCCACGGCGACCTGCAGGGCCACCAGGGTCTGCTCCCTCACGCGCGGGAGGGGGAGCTTGGGGTCCTGGGACGCAGACTGGCTGTTGTTCAAGATGCTGGTGTCTCTGGGCAGGTAGCTCCCCGCAGGTGTGGTGAGAGGGCTGAGCTCATCGGTGTCCCGCCGCGGCAGCAGCTTGTACACGGCCATGGTGAGCGGGTACTGGCGGCCATTGACCTGCTCCACGGACTGGCAGGTGTAGTCGCCGGCGTCCGCGGCCGAGGCGTTGAAGATCAGCATGCCGTCACTGTAGATGTAGTACTTGCTGTCGGAGTTGGGGATGAGTCGGTCCTGGAAGCGCCACTTGACCTCCGCCAGGTTGGACCCGGGCTGGCACTGGAGCTTGATGTTGTTCCCGGGAATCAGCGTGCAGTTTTCTAGTCTGACCGTTCCTGAATCAACAACAGACAGACAGCACTGATCAGTCCTGTCGTTACTGTCCTCCTGCACTGTACTCTGGCCTTGGACTTTTCAAGGAGACTAAGCCCATAGAGAAATTTCACAATTATATAATCATTTTAATCACTTGTTTTACACACCAGGTGATTTTACCAATTAACTGTAAATAATTTCAGTCTTTAAAAATCAAGGGTAAAAAATATTTACCAATTTAGATTAAATTCTGCCAAGCCCAGTTCTATAAGTCAGTCAATTCCTGAATATCTCTGAAGAACATCTAACACATTAACACACACTGTCTGCACTGCTGTGCTGACCTGAGAAAGGAATAATGACGGCTTTGTGCAAACTACTTTATAACTGCTAAAGGTAGAATACACACTATTTCTAAGTGAAATTCGCAGATGCATACATACCCGACTTTGGGCATCGAGAGGCGTCTCCATCTCTGACGCTCTGGATTAGGTCCCTGCAGGAGAGAGAATGACACAGAGGGTGAAGCAGCTGCACATGGCTGGAGCCCAGGACAGCAGATTCAGAGTGAAGGAGCACTGTTTCTCCCAGCTCCTGGCAGAGCACAGAGCAGGCATACTCACGTGTGGCTGGCAGTGGCAGAGCGCGGGATGGCGGTACAGAGCGCAGTGCGCAGGTCCCAGGCGCAGTAGGGGTCTCGGGCGAGGACGCAGTCGAGACACGTCTCATAGCGGCTGCAGACTGACAGTGGAACCTGGACTACACCTGACTCCGAGCCCACGTACAGCTGCCCCTGCAGATCACAGACACACAGGATCTCTTCCTTTGTTCTCATCACACCTGCTCCAGCTCAACTGCCCTATCGTGAGCAAACCAAGCCCTGCCAGCTCTTTCTCCTGAGCCCCCAGGAAGAGCGCTCTGCCATCGAGACAGAAATGGATAACAACTTGGGAAAAAAATCACAAGAAATATGCTACACATGAGATGAAGCTGCTTCTTCAGGTGCTCAGCACATCACTGATCGGGTGATCCGCAGCTGGGTGAAGCTGAAGCTGGTTCTCAGTTCTTACCCCTTTAACCCCAGCTTGGGAGCATAAAGCCTGGCGCTACCTTTGGGGCCGACAGCCGCATCGTCTTGATGGGCTCAGGTGGGTGGAAGAGCTGCACCTCCTCGATGATGAACATTTCGCCATCGAAATTCACTGCTTTCTGCAGGTACCCATTCACTAGAGAGACAAGGGCCACAGTTTCAGGCACAAGCTAACAAAATTTGCTGGAAGACCAGGTCTCTATCACAGGCACTATTTCTGAAACAAGGCTCTTCCCTAATCAACCCTGATCTGTTGTTGCATCTCACATATTAATAAGTTTCTGATACTGTGCACTACCTTGCATGAGCTACAGGAAATTGGACAGATCTGCTATGGAATTTTCTTGCAGTTACTTTTTTAAAGAATCTCTGACAAATTCACCCAGTTTTTGTTGCCTTCAGTACACTCTCCAGAAATCCAGCACTTCCTGTGAGAGCCGATGGCAACGCGGAGCTGCACAGTGCTGCTGGTGTTAACATCCTCTTTGTTTTTATGCAAACAGGACCTGGTCTGTGTGCAGTTTCAGGGGAGCGTTGCCTGCTGAGCTCTCAGTGACCCCTGCGCTGCAGTGTATGCTGCAGTGAGAGTCTGGGTTAGGTGTGCTACAGGTAGGAGAACGATGTGCTGGCTGGCTGACTGCACGGACCTGTGCCTATGAACATGACGTGGTAGCTCCGGCCGTCCAGCACGGTCACCCTGTCCACCGCGATACGGGTGAGCTGGGCACCCTTCTTCACCAGCTGTGGCTGCCCACCCAGCGGTGCCACGGCGTCGTCCATCAGCGGCCGGTCGCGGATGAACTGCAGAGTCTTGTCCGGCAGGTCGAGGGACTGCTGCATGCCCATCGCCCGCGTAGCGTTGTTGATGCACTGCAGCACGAATTGAGAACATTACAGTGATACCACTGCAAGGCACTGGCACTGCAGCCCACATCCCACACACCCAGACCTGCTCATGCAGCTCAGCACTGGTTCTAACATACCGTATATGTGTGCACCTTTGCAGGTGATTTGAGACAATGAAACCTTCCAATCAATTACTGAATTTATCCTTAATTACTTTATAAACCCCGGACCTAAAAACACTACTTCAATAATATGGCGGAGCCGTGGATCTGTGGCTAAGGATCTGCGCCTGTAGTTGGAAGGTTGCCGGTTCAAATCCTGCAGCCGGCAGATGAATCCTACTCTGTTGGGCCCCTGAGCAAGGCCCTTAACCTCAACTGCTCCAGGGGCGCTGTACCATAGTGCTGACCCTGTGCTCTGACCTCCAGCTTCTCTCCCTGTCTGTGTGTCTCATGGAGAGCAAGCTGGGGTATGCAAAAAGCGAATTCCAAATGCAAGAATTTGTACAGGGCTAATAAAAGGATGTTTTGTTATATTAATTAAGGGTTAGCTCAGATTGATGACCCCAGGTCTTTATATTATAAATAGGGCACTGAGAGGCAGGCAACTTGTGTCTGCAGTCTCGCAGTCCAGTGGCACTCACAGCGCCGGGCCGAGGGACAGGCACCTCCCCGCTGTACATCACCCACTTGACGTGGGAGGACTCCACGGTGACCGGCGTCTTGTACTTCCCGTGAGAGAACACCTGGCTGACGTCCGCCACGCGGTACGCACACACCGCCGAGACATCCAGCAGGCCCCTGCCAGGCATGAGCGAACAGAAAACTCTTCACACGCGCTGCACTCGTGACACATGCTGTCGATAACCAGTTCTGGTCAGAAACGTTCTGAGCGGCGAGGCGCACGTCTCACACAGACACAGACTCAGACACCCAGAGGTGACGCGGCGGGAGGAGCCGGGAGCCCTGTCCCAGGCAGCACGTACGATTGTGGGACGAAGACGGCGTAGAAGATGCTCTCTCTCCAGTCGGCGGAGTGCAGCAGGAAGACGTCCTGCACGACGAAGGGCAGGCTGTGCCCAGGGGCGGAGCAGTCCAGCCGCGCCTTCAGGAAGGACGTCCACTTCTTCTGCAGGGTGCGCTGGCCACCCAGGTCCCCCTGCGCACAACACAGCTCTCACAGACAGAGCCCTGCAGCACCGTGCAGCGCACCAGAACAGGAGACCAAAACCAACACTCACTAATAAGTTGTGCAATTCACTTTCTCTTCTTGCAGCACAACTTCAGACTGTTCACTATACCCCAGTACAGTGAGTCTGATCCTGCCTCAGTCAGTGCTGACTGTAAAGACAAGGCACTCACAGGGAAAAGGTCATCTATATACATCAAAGCAAGCTGATAGCTGCCCTCCTTTCTCCCTGTAACATCCCTCGATTTAAATTCTGCACTATATAATATTTGTTTACCTTTTTTATTGCTGTGTCACGTCGTTAGAAATGCTGTCAACATGAACCCCCAGTCTTTTGGTAAGCAGCCTGTAAGCGGCTGGCCCTGGAGGAGAAGGGGTTGGGATCGGGCGCAGGAGGAGGGCGGTGTGGACGCACCTTGCAGACACGGGCGACGCGCGACACCGGGAGCTTGCTGAAGAAATCGTATTCCACCGCGCTCTCGCTGAAGAACAGGTACACCTTGTCATCATCCCCCTCGGCGTTCCCACGGCTCTCCGGGACCACGTCCATATACACGAAGTTGGGCTCTGACACCACATAGAGCCACATTAACCAGCACGAAAAGCAATGACTAACTATTATGATTATTCTGATATAGACACTGGGCACCTTATCATCTAAGACAAGTGTAACCGCCATCATGTAATAATCAATACCAGTATATTAATCGAAACGTCCTATCCAGACAAGAGGTCCACTGCAAATGTATTTTTCTACTGATGGGTAAGAGCACACTTTACTTATACCTCAGTACAGTGAGTCTGATCCTGCCTCAGTCAGTGCTGACTGTAAAGACGAGGCGCTCTCCAGGAAAAGGTCATCTATATACACCAAATCAAGCCTATGGCTGCATGTAATCTTTTCATCCTGTAATTATATTCCTGCTCTTCCTGCATATACCCACAGTGTTGGACAGGCACTGAAACAGCTGGCAAGAGAAACAGAACCATTTGTGGCAGCACAAAAAGGGACAACACTGTTATACACCATCATCAAAGAAATCCATGTATAGAAAGTATGTATTTGAACGGAGGTGACACGGTTGCACAATTGCTAGCACTACTCCCTTGCGGCACTGGGACCCAGGGTCAATTCCAGATCTGGGTGTTCTGTCTGTGTGGAGTTTGCATGTTCTCCCTATGTACATGTGGGTTTCCTCCGGGTGCTATGGTTTTCTCCCACAGTCCAAAAATGATGGTGGGTTAACTGGCTTCTGGGAAAACTGGTGCTAGTGTGAGTGTGCCTGTGTGTCTGTGTCAGTCTGTTCCCCTTGATGGACTGGTTGCATCACTGCCTGGTATGGGAACTGCTCCACCCAGGATCGCAAAGTACTGCAGAGGGTGGTGAAGTCAGCGCATCTTATCAGCAGCTGTGAGCTACCAAGCATCCAGGAGATCTACTCAGCTAGGTGTCTGAAGAAGGCCAGGTCCATTCTCAAGGACCCCAGTCATCCCAGTCACAAACTGTTTTCCCTCCTACCGTCTGGTAAACGGAACAAAAGCAATCGGTCCAAGTCCAACAGACTACGGAACAGCTTCTACTTCCAGGCAATAAGACTGCTAAATAGCCAACCTGCAGCTCCTTCAGCAAATCACCTGCAGGTTGGACACAGTTTTCACTGTATTCAGCATAACTGCACTACATGTATATATTGCATACACCATGGACACATAACAGCTCTACTCATATTGAGTTTTATTCAATAAAAAAAAATTGTAACCTCAATTTTGTGTTTTTGATTCTTGTGATTTTTTTTATTTTTGTGAACTCGCAGAAAAATACATTTCATTGCCAGCAAGTACTGCTGCACTCCGTATTGTTGTGCATTTGATAAATAAACTTTGATTTGATTTGATTTGGTGTCCCATCCAGGGTAGGTCCTGCCTCGTGCAAGCTGCCTGCCGAGATCCCCCTTGACTCCAAATGGGAAAGGGCGGTTACGGGCGGATGGATATTTGAATGCTTGATTGCAACAGGCTAGCTGATTCGGTCACAACCTGCAGTGTGAATCTCACCGTTCAGCCAAGAGCTCTTGAACTCGGTCCTCAGGGCGCTGGGGGAGCTGCGCAGGACCGCGGGCTCCGAGCCCAGGAAGTTGATGGCGGTGGCGCAGTACAGGTCTCCGTCTGGAAGAGAGAGGATGTGAGTGACGGAGACCAGGTTTGATTGGAAAGAAGGGTTCCAGAGAAGAGTTTTCAACAGCTTATTCCTGATACCCACTACTGCTGGGGCAAGGCGCTCATGTATTTTCAAGAAAAATGAATAAGATCAGAAGCCGTGCTTGCAAAAATGCCCAGTAAGAAGCATGCTGGATGTATCTCCCAGTCTCCTCTCTCCACGCCCCATGAGACAGTGTGCTGGTGTACATACCGACCATGACAGACGAGTATCGCTGGAACGGATCGAAGGGACACTTCCCCTTCCCCTCCTCCTTTTTATTTTTCAGCTGCAGCTTTCCATCCCTATAAACCTGTGAAAACAAGATACAATTCCAGGAGCAGCTGCAGGGGAACGCAGCAGGCAGCTGAGCAATACTGATGGCTAAACCACACTCACCAAGACGTCACAGGTGGGGCTGAAGGCGTCTGTGCCACACACGTACATGTTGTCATCATCAATTTTGTGGAGTGTCCGGATATAGTTCCGACACTCTGTCTGGAAAGGCATGAGAAGCTAGCGTTTAAAAACATGAACAGAAATCCTGTGGTGTAAAGTTACTGTGGCTACATCTAACCCAACAACCGGACACAGAACAAACATTCGTCCACAGAAATGTTTTCATAGGCCCAACAGCACCAACAGCACAGTCAGCATCGAACGAAGGAGGGGCTAGCTACCTACCTGACAGCAGCAATGGAGGCTCATGTGAGCAGTGTCACTGAACAGTTTGCTGTCTCGGCTGATCAAGCCCACCCAACCCCAGCAGCTCTGCTCCAGCTTTGCACCACTACCTGTGCAGGCTTGGCAGCAGCCGGCTAATTCTGAGGCTTTGACAGATTAGCAAATCCTGCATCTTAACTGGGAGTCGGAACCCAGCTTTCTGTTCAAAACACCCAATTCACTTTGGAAAAAACTCACCTCTGCATCTTTTCCTTTATTCACGCAATCTCTCTGCTTATCTGAAATAACCTGCCAGGTCACCTGAAACACAGAGGCACATCGGATCCCTGAAACACATGCTCACAGGTGCTCCGAATGTGTTGTTTGTGTTGCATAATCAACACCAAGGTGCTCACAGTCAATGGGAAACCTAGTTTAACCCGAGCGACCTGCTCTTACATTGGACTTCTTGCGGAAGATGTCACCCATATCCAGGGCGTAGATGGCCTCTCTGGCCCCGACGATCAGCAGGCCCAAGTCCTCCCGCAGCAGCATGGTGGTGTAGTTGGAGATGCCCTCCTCTCTGAACAGCTTTATATTTCCATCTGCCAGCCAGAATGACACAGGGCGCAGCATTGGCACAGAATCAGATTAAGTTAATTGAGCAAAGTCAGAAAATGAATGATTTTGTGAAACACTTCTGTTGGTCTCTTAAAAATATAGTAAGATACCTATGTGTCCCGGTCTACTCTCCTGTCCTGAACAGATATTACTCTTGTTGACAGGTCAGGTCAGCACTTGTATGTTTGTTTTTTAGGCAGACTGGCCTTCTAAAGAAAACATTTGCAAGATAAAGGTGTGGTGGCTCTGTGGCTCTGAGGGCGCTGTGGTGGCTCTGTGGCTAAGGATCTGCGCCTGTGGCTGGAAGGTTGCCGGTTTGGGGAGATCAGGACAGACTGAAATCCAAACACTTCTGTCTTTCCATGAGACTAGAGGACAAAGACACACAGACAGCACAGCAACAGACAGACTGGTACCAGAGGCAGAGAGAGAGAATGAGTGAGACAGTAGCCTGAGCACGTTGGCACACACAACCTGAAGACCTCATTTTACCCAATTTACTGATAGTGCTGAAGACCCGTTGTAGCTGGCTCTTCTGTTCATGCTGTGAGTAAGGTGGTCTTAGAGAACAGTGGAGGAGGAGTGGGGACGGGGAGGGCCAACCTACTGTGGTAGAGGACGCTCTTCCGTGGGATGCAGTGGGGAGAGCCTGCCGTGTCCCGTGCCAGGAGGCACAGTAGACAGAGCAGGGGCTGCAGGCCTGCAGGGGGACTCATTCCGTAGGCTTCGCCCCAGGAGCAGGCTCACAGGGAGAGGGGGCTGGTTTTCGTTTCTCTGCTGGTCTTGGAATCTGATCCCAGCATAGCTTTTACCTGCAACACAGATGCTTGCAGATGTGGCCGGTATGGGAGCCCAGACAAGACACCCTCATAATGGGGAGAGTCTACATCACGCCCCCCGCAGGCATCCCTGGAAAAAACAGAAGGAAAAACATCCTCAAGATTCCACGCCCCTAGAACTGGGCTATATTTTTAATTAAGTAATGGTCATTAATAATATAACTCCAACAACGGATTAGTTCAACGATAGCTGTCATCAGCACTCAGCATATGTTTAACTCTCCCCAACTTGACCCACATGGCTCAGCAGTCGAGCACCTTCCCTGGCTGTTACACAGCGTTGGGTCAGGTCACACACCACAGTGTTCAGGTGGATTGCCACGCAGTCTCAGCTCGTCCGATTTCACATGGGAATCCCAACAGCAAGATTAAAGAACTCAAACCAAACCGAGTCACTCAGCAAGCAGCTTAACTATTTTAATCCTTCCAGCCCAGTTATCTCTTACAACACTCACGGAGTGCTGAGCATCAGAACAGAACAGAAGAGCCTGAGTACAGAGTAATTCAATGTGAGGAGAGGGTGTGTAAAAGTGTGGTGACGGTCTGAAGGTAGACAAACAGAGAAAAAGGCTTTAATAATCCTCTCAGGAGTGCTTTTACAACTGGAGCAAGGACAATGGTGTACTTATGCAGACAGAGCTGACAAGTCCTGTTCATGCAGAGCACTGTGCGCTTGTCTAGAAAACAATAAATACACGAATTCTGATAGGTAGTTCTAATCAACAGACGCATGAAGTTAATTGACTAGAAGGGCAGCAGTCTCCACACCCCGACCGCTGGGAAAGGCGTGCTCGAGCACTTTGCAATTCAAGTTCTACACGCAGGGCCATCTGCAGCCTCCAGTCAGCTGGCCGCCACCCACAGCCTGCCTCACTCAGGATCCTCCTACTCTCTGCAACACTCGTTCTGTCACTGTTTTCCTTTCTGTGAAGCAGCTGAGCTTGTTTAGTTTGCGAGAGAAACATGCAGGCTGAGACACGCTCCCCTGTAATAACAATAATTTAATAATTGCTTACACTTATATAGCTCTTTTCTGGACACTCCACTCAAAGCGCTTTACAGGTAATGGGGATCCCCTCCGCCACCACCAATGTGCAGCCCCACCTGGATGATGCGACGGCAACCACAGTGCGCCAGAACGCTCCCCACACATCAGCTATCAGTGGGCAGGAGAGCAGAGTAATGTAGCCAATTCATAGAGGGGGATTATTAGGAGGCCATGATTGGTAAGGGCCAATGGGAAATTTGTCCAGGACACTCTTTTTGAGAAACGCCCTGGGATTTTTAATGACCACAGACAGTCAGGACCTCGGTTTTACGTTTCATCCGAAGGACGGCACCTGTTAACAGTCTAGTGTCCCCGTCACTATACCGGGGCATTAGGGACCACATGGACCACAGGGTGAGCGCCCCCTGCTGGCCCCACTAACACCTCTTCTAGCAGCAACTATACCTCTTCCAGCAGAAACTCACATTTCCTTTCCAACTCAATAAGACTAACTCCACAACACTCATCTGATCAGCAACTGGGGGAAAGCCAGGCAGCAGCCTGACGGGCCGGTTCTGTGTTGTGAATTACAACACAACAAATGAGCAGGCCTGAGCACGCCGGGCCTGGGGCAGATCCAGGCGGTCTCAGGTGTTCCGCTGTCACGCAGTGGAGCTCTGCGTGACGCCCCACAGTCAGTCAGGGTGTGCAGCCTTCACTCGCTCCTGCGCCCGGCTACGACAGCCACCCTTGGCCTGTCCTTCAAACAAGGTCCTCTGTGTTACCAGGTGCTCAGGGGCAAGAAGAAAAGCTCATCAAAAATATACCATTGACTTGGACAGAAATAACGTGGTCCATTAATCAAGGGACCAGAGAGGCTCAGAAAACAGCTTGAAGACCCTGTGGTAACTCAGCCCGTTTGGAGTGTTCTTATGTTATTTGGCCAGGAATCTTTTTTTCAGCACATTCGATGAACAAAAGCCAAGTGACTCAGACTCAGGCCGGTGCTAAACGAATTGCTCATGATAAGCACATTGGACTTGTAGTGAATGGACTGGCAGATGGCACTGAAGTATTGGAAATGTATACATGCATTCGCAAAATAATATCAAATTACATTTATAAACTCAACTTTGCATGAGAAAAAGTAAACATATGTTGTTTTCTATGTACAATAGAAATTGGGCTTCAACTAAGGGTCAGCTTAGGGTGGTAGTCTAGCAACAAGCAAGAATAGTTAAAGATGAAAAAAGTTTTACAGTATACCATTTTCTTCTCCATTACATACTGGTTTAAATAAAAGTGCTTTGAAATATCCTGGCTGTTGAGAAACATCCTGAGGTGACTGTCACACAGGTTCCTCCAGCGCTCAATACATGTTTTCTTTTGATTACCTTTTCACCTTGAACTACTGTCTATGTACTTCTGCTCCTTGAAAGGGATCTTTTCCTTTTCCCAAACCTTCAGCATTTTGTGGGAAATGGGGTTGTAACTACTATTTACAAGAGCATCATGTGACCACTAATTGCCCTGCTGCACTCAAAAAGATAACAACACAGGAGAAACCCAAATAACTTTAATTCATTTCAGATTCAATGTTAAAATTAAATGAGAATTCTTTAGCATTTACACTGCTCTAGTGCGCAAATTTAAGTTTTACTTTTACCCACAGGAACAGAAACTGTCCATTCAGGAAGTAAAAGTAATACTTGTACTTAAAAGGAGAGGCTGGGAAATTGCACTATAACAGTGAGAACGCATCGATACACAGCAAGAATGAAACGTCCACCTCCTGGACAGGAATGCCCTTTGACTGTTAACGTTTGTTGAGGATCATCTGGAAAATGTGCATTTGTCATGACTTCTAGATGAGGCTGCTAATAAAATGGACAGAAATGAGCAGAAACATAGCAGAGAAAAATTATAAATGCTATTTAGTTTAGAAATGGACACAGGAAATCCACCCAAATGATTTCACACAAAGCTATGCAAGAGTTTATCTCCGTGGAGCAAGAGCTCCAGTGAAGTATAAGAACCTTAATGTCACTGCAAGTCAGTTATCGTGTGCAAGAGTTTCCAAACAAGGAAAATAAAATCATTTTATAATGAACAAGAAAACCAAATGGCAATGATGTGATTGTTCTCTCTCAGGATGAGTTGATACAGAGCACAGGAACTCTGCAGGACAGAGGCTGTGACTAAACCCAGTGACAGCATGAACAGACAGCCTATGGACTCTGGACTGCTCACACCTACTGCTTTGATAACACTTTCATCAAGAATAAAAGCTAAGTTAGGGTAGGAGAGTATTTACAGTGTTTTCCACTGTGTGAAAGTACAAAGGAAACAAGACAGATGAGCAGAATGGAATATAATGATAATGAGGGATCACAAAAATGTTGGAAATGTAACATGAATGCCAAGAAATAAAACAATAGAAATGAAATACGACCGAACTTCTGTTGACACAGATTAAGGTAAACAACAATATTACCATAACTGTTCCTTCTCTTCTTAGTAGCAACCTTCACTTCTTTACTGCAGGCCACAAACATTCAACAAAGAACTGTATTAACATAAGGCAGTTACGAAAATATTAACATACTACAGCCTCCAATAGGTGAACAGTGGACTTCTTTTTCAATACGTCACCAGAATCTGTACCTGAGTTAATAACAATGTGCTGCCTCTTCAACAGAGTTCTGTCATGGTGTCACAATCCCAATCCCATGAAGGTCAGGCTGTTGTCTAATGAAGTCAAATTGGACTATAAATGTTAAACAAGCATTTTTCAAAGAAACACTTGTCACATTTCTGGTACATGCGCAGTTATCAAGTATTGATTTAAAGGTATGTGCCCTTCCTGTTAAAGGAAATCCTGACAGTTTGAAGCCAGTGCTAACCCAGCCCCACTCATCCACTCCTTTCCCACTGAGCGGCTCACACAACAGCTCTCAGTGTGGAGATCTGGGTTAATAAATAACCATTCACTCAGAACAGTACCAGCAGGAAGTTTTGCTCTAGAAAACCGATTCATATCGATGTTGACATGCTTACCACAGATAAGAGATACAGCACACACTGCATGCAAAGTGCTCTAATTTGCCTAGAGCCGTGCTTCACATGCATTATAACAACACAATCTAGAAGTACTCTGGAATACCATGCAAGTTATTAATTGATTGCTCATTAACCTAACTTCTTAACCTAACTTAAACAGAGCATTATCAAGCCCTGTTTATTAACATTTTCCAGAATCTCAGTCAGACTGCAGGCCCGGTCAGCACTCTTGTTTACTGCTGTCTGCTCCAGTAGGCTTACAGAGCGCGGCCCAGTACAGACAGCAGGAGAGTTCATCACTGACTCGGATAGCAGTGCCTGTTGTCTATTTTGCAAAACACTGTGTATAAACTTGAACAGTACAGAAAGCCGACTTGAAGGAGCACATGTGCTTCCCTCCAGAACCCTGCACAGTTTTCAGAAGTACACTACAGGCAATCTGATTGGAAGTAAAATAATTCAAAGGTCTTGTCCTTCATTTCTAGGTCTAACCCATCATGCAAAAAGAGTAACAAAGAGATCTTTGTGCCCACCCAGAGTAAACAGTGAACAGGGGAACCCGAGACAAGCGCTCAGACAAAGGCAGCAGGGGTGAAGCTGGCAAGAAGGGCTATCGGTTGACAGCCTGGTGAGCACAGCTGTGACGCAGTGGCAGTGCACAGCGGCCGCCAGGGAGCAGCTGGGGAGTTCCTGCCTCGGACGGGTGTCTCAACATGCTGTCTGACTTCACTCACACACAGCAACAAAACGCAGCTGAGAAGAGTCTTTCAAACGAGGGATCAAACTGAAAGAAGAGGAGAGTGTACCGTCGGATCTCCCTCTCCTCTGTCCCTCTGCTACCTGGCACACTGTGGACCTCTGCATTCTCCTGTCAACAGCTGGTACCCTTCACGGTCAGGGTCTCCTGCTTCTCTTCCTACCTCGCTGATCTGCGGTATGGAGCTCTGTCCTTTCCTCAGGTGTCCCCAAGGCTCTGGTCTGGGTCCCCTACTGTCCTCTCTCTCCACCCTCTGGAATGAACTGATCCACAAGGGCTGCTCAGTACCTGATCGCCTTCAGCCATCTGCTCAAAAAACACCTGTACAGACAGCACCTGGGACCTTCAGTCACACCCCTTCAGTCTCTCCAACACTGTAATATACTGATCTTCCTCACTTTCAGACCAGCAATACAATATGCTTATTGCTCATATCCACCGTAAACAAATATATATACCATCTGCTTTTATTACTGCTGCTCTGCATCCACACCGTTTAGCATCTGTGATCTGACAAAGACCAGTCTGGTAGTAATGCTCCCAGTCTGGTAGTAATGCTCCCAGTCTGAGCCTAAAATAACCTCTTGGTCTAAAAGAGCTCACGTGGTCTAGAAGATCTGTACCTCCCATAATATGCTGGTTCAGATTCAGGCCCCCATCAGCAACCAGGACAGAGATGGAAAATGTAGCGAAAAGCAAGTGAGTTTGAGTGAGTTCAGCTTTGCTGAATTAAACAACTCTAATTGCACAGACTCCTTCAGAATGAAGACACCTCCTATGCCACCTAGAGCCGCGACAGAAAGTGCACTGAGAAAACACTTCAGCCTATAGGTTTTCTCAAACACAAATAAAAATTTAGTTGGAAGCAAAGTCAAATTTCAATTATTCCTACGTTGATAATAGCTCCACACATAGCCATGTATGTGCCAGGCAGTAAGCGCCGGTCCAGAACAACAGAATTGATTCATTCAGCAGTGAGACGCAACAGAGACTTTCCTTTCAACAGCCATTCACAACAATGAGTTCCTTCCCTCATACAGTGGGGCAGCCTTTTGTTTTTTTAACTAGTTTCTGTAGCGTTATTTTTGTGTTTCAGTACCGACTGAATGGATCAAGAGAAGAACATAAGACAGGCTGCTAATGAGATGCAGCCATCCTGCCCATCTCGCGCGCTTGGTAGACTAGTAGCTCAGTGAATCCAAAATTTCACCCAGACATTCCTTGATGGAGCCTAGATATTGTGAGGAACAACATTTTCCCATTTCATACAGGGCTTTCCATGATGGAAGACGCATCTGAAAATCAATAAACAAGAAGCTGTCGATCTGATGTTGTGAAAGCCTTCTGTCCTAGTGATGACTCACGAAGGCTGTGCGCTTGCTGATTCATCTGGGAGGACTCTGTGTTACCTCAAGTCTTTTACATGCACATGTCGAAAACAAACACATAGCTACTCCCTGGAAAAGCACTGCTGTAACGCAGGGCCAGGCAGAAATCTTTGGGTGTTTTTGAGGGCACCGAACAAGCTCTGCGAATTACAATGACCACTGCTCTGAGAATTACGGCTTTGTATTGCTTGCAGCAAAGCTCATCCAGAAATTCCCCAAACCCCTGACGCTCGACAGCAGACTGCAGGGACCCTGTGCAGCAGTTAAAAAAGAAAAACAGTGTTTTTCTCTGAAAGGCGTCAGGGTGGGTCCACAGGATGCTGGAGCGGGGAGAGATCTTACCCCTGACTCCCCCTTGTCCTTCCTACACTGTGGAAAATAAGTGCTGCTCTTGAGCAGGGGGCCAGGGCTGGTGCAGCTTGTTTTTTTAACCAGCACAACCTTCCAATCTCAAACTGTAATAATGCTACGAGATCTGACCGTTCTCTCTTCCTGTCTAGGATAGGATGTCAAGAGATCAGATGAGTAGTGTAAATCAGGTTATTAAAATTACACAACGTGGTGGCAAGACCTCATTTAGAAAACCACACAATTTTGGACACCACAATCAAAAGCTTAGATTGCGACTGAGGAATCAGCTTAAAGAGAGGCACAAGAGTTCATCCTTAACCTCACAGAAATGCTTGACTCAGATGGATTAAAGGAACTTGTCTTAAATCGCACAGAGATTATTACAACAGAACACCGAAGCGTTTAACTTTCTGAAAAGCAGCAGTGAAACAAGGACACAAGAGGGAGAGCCTAAATACTGCAGTCAGGCGGCACTCCCTCACACAGAGGGCTTCTCGGAGCAGGTTCCTAGAGAATTTCGCTGGAAGAGATCCAGGAATCAAAAGGCCAGTATTGATTGACAAGAACCAAGTGGCTTCCTTGTGCTTGTAACCTTTCTTCTGTCATTATACAGTATTTACAAACGCAGCAGCCTAGTATATAGGTATGGGTGCAAATGAAACAGAAAACATCCAGGGCGCAGATAAACAACAGTGATGTGCTGAGGAGAGGAGGCCTGAATTAACACTGGCCTGCAGGAGACGGCCCTGCTGCAGGAGACTGGAACAGCACAGCAGAGTGGTGACTGAAGGATCTCATCCAGTTGCGTCTTCACAGAAGAAAATCAGCTTCAACCAGTCAGGTGTTGGCTCACTAGTGAATTTGGTCTAAGTCTTTCTAAAGTTCCTTTGCAGCTCATAAAGCGTTTTGAAGTCCTCCGATTTTGGGATCACCCGTGAACTTGTAAAACGCAGAAGAAAGAAAGAACAGTGGTTCTAATGCTCCTGTATTAGTAGATATCTATAAAAGCCTCCAAAATTATCAATTATTATGTTTTAGCATTAATAATTATATTTTGAACTATGTGTCAAGGCTGTCTATTTGGTGTTCAGTCTACAAATGATTGAGGTCAGTGTATCAGAGCTTTTTTTAAGAAATGGAAGCAACCTTTTACTGTTACATTTGAACTCTGACAAGACCAACACTATGCTGAGTGTCTTTATCAACTCTGCATTGCCAGATTCCGTTTGACTACTGTTTGTTCTGGAATCAGCTCAGGTTCTTCTGTCAGAAATCCTGCTGTCTTTGCTCCGCGTCACGTACCTGAAGCCCGTGTTTGCAGTGCTGTGAAGGTGTCTTTTCCCGTCTTTGTAATTCCGTGTGGATCCACACACAACTCTTCCGATCGGATACAGAAGAACTAATGCCTGCTCCTGTCTCTTCCTGGCTTGATTATTGTGTTGCAGTGCTGACTGCCGAATCCAAACATCTTAACAAGCTGCAGCATGCTGAGGGCTCTGCTGCTCAGATCTGAACTCAGACTAAAGGGCAAGAGTATTCTGCGACTCTGCGGTTTTAGCTTCCTTGCACTAACCTCCTGTGGATGTCAGAATAAAGCTTTAAGAAGCTGAATAGTCTGGTTCCTGATCCCATCTGTGAGGTGTTGACTCCCTGCACACAGGTGCACACACACGTCTCTTGCCTTCATTCAGGTCCCAGGACAAGTAACGGGGAGACTGCGCTGGCACAGTGCTGTATGTTAGTTTTCTGGGGCTTTAGTAATTCTGGAGCTCTTGTTGTAAGAGTGCAGTCAGCCCTCATGCCCTAACCCCTGCAGTCAGGCACTCCCAGGGCAGGAGCCAGCAGGACCCAGCCAACACAGGCCGACAAGTCTCGACAGGAGCCAGCGGAGAAGAGAAACAGAACTAGCATTAATGTCACCCTCCCATGAGAACCTCCTTCTTAGTAGCGTGACAAGCACAGTGTGTTTATTACAAACATTCTTTGTGGCTTTAACACATCACAGTGAGTAGGGGAACTTTGAGAACTTTTACATTTGAGGCTTTACCACATCAAGAGCAGGGGAACTGCACAGCACTGCAGCTTGGAGGGGCTACAGAGGGTGGGCTTGGGCTTACTGGTTAGGTTATTCCAGTTATGCCATCACATATAAATGACCATTTTTAAACCACTGCTGCCTATCATTATAACTGGTAAAACCTGAAAGCATGGCTTCTCTCTCTCTTGGGAAATCATTTTTTTCACTTCATTCTTCGGAGTGGGGTGGGTGGGGTCTTGGGAGACTACAACACAAGCAGTTTACTCTAGTACATTAAACTCTGACTGGAATTTAGTGAGCAAAAAAACACATGAGGCTCCAAAGCAAAATGCAAAAAGAGGATATGGCACAAGATCTTGCACTCATTTCCAAACAGAGCTCAGCTTAGGTTTCAGATTTACTGACCTGATAATAACCATAATCATGACGAAACCAGCGAGCTGAGCCCTTCCTCAGTGGCCTGTTAGCTAGAAGCGATGTAATTTTGCTTCAGGATTGTACAACACATGACGCTCTGCATCCTCCAGCCCCGGCCAGTTTGAATCCTGGCCCGGGCTGCACGGCGCTGACTAACCCTGCCGACCCGCCATGCTGATGGACAGGAGAGAGCACAGCCTGCAGGGCTCCCCAGCGCGTGAGCCCAGTGGACCCCAGTCCTGACAGACACCAGCAGCAGCTGCCCTGTTCAACTCACTGCAGCCCGGCTGTACCCCGGTCCTCCGTCCCGCCTGCGAAACCCACCACACAGCAGCTAATTTCGGCTAATTGAATTATTTCTACAGTCACAGACCACGGGCTTACAAGAAATAAGACCGTCAGGCAGGAGGGAAAGAGGTCTTTGAAAACGTTTCAGACAGCGTGAAAGAAAAGGACGCTGGTGCACAAACCGAACCTCTCTCACTGCATCCACAGGTCCCGCACACCCCAATACCAGCTTCAGCCTCAGGGGCATTAGTCCTGACGCGTTACCGCTGGCAGTCCTCCAGGCTGAGATCGCGGGGGGACAGGAGCTGCTCTCTGACGCCCTCTCACAGGGACACTAGCAGCTACCCTAGTTACCCCACACTTCCCCCGCTGTTACCCGGACAGCTCGCCTGTCAGATCTCTGGAGCAGTCCGGCTGCGGCAGGACCGGGGCGCCGGTTTGTCCGGAACAGCGCCGATCACAACCAAACTTCCCGCTCGACTCGCCAGCGGTGTGAGGACAGCCCCGCCAGCCGAAAACCCGGTTCGTCCTCCCGACAGACTCACCTTTCTTCCTTTCGACCCGCCGGGAGCCGAGTCGGGGCTGAAGGAGCCGCTTTCTGTTCCTCGGCAGCAACTGCCGCACCTCCGCGCGCCTCACCTGAGCCACGGGCGGCTGGGGCTGGGGCGCGCGCGGCACGTGACCCCGGTGCGGGGGGGCTCGCGGGAGCCCCTCGTGAAATACCAACGGCCAGCAACTTCTGTTTGAATAGTAATTGTAACAATTGTCTAAAACTGTCAAACAAAATACAGTTAAAAATTGAAAAAAAAACTACATTTCAACAATAATGGCTTTAAAAAGTGAGTTTCACTTTATTATTTCTGCATCTGAACTTATTGACGGTCTCTGTCGTTGTTTAATGAAATGAACATATCACGTATATCAGACTGCAGTCTGGTTCACCGCCGCTCTTCCTCGTCTGCGGGACTTTCTCAGGCTCTTCGCCTCCCCGCCACAGGCGCGCCCTCTAGTGGAGCCGTTGGGTACAGCGCTTCCGGAGGCGGCGGTCTTGCATGAACGGCGGAAATCTCCCAGTTAGACTCCGACTGCAGACCGACTGCGGGACTGGGGTGTGGGGCGGCAGGCGGCAGAAGATGGAGGGAGTCTCCTCTGCTGTGGTTTTGGGGTGCACTGGAGCTCCGGGGGCTTCTGCTCCAGGGTACTGGGTGGTGGCACAGGTCTTGACCGGGTCATGTTCTCATAAATGGGGTTGTCTGCAGGACAGAGGGAGAAGGACGTTAGACTGTACTGAGTACTGACGCACTGACTCGCACACTCTCTCCTGCACGATGGCACACTGACACTGAGATCACCGCTGCCCCGCTCGTCGCCAGCAGGGCTGAACTGCCCCTCCAGCTCTGCTCCGCTAGGGCCTGACCTACAGTTCCTGCCGACACACTGTCTTAGCGACACAAAGAGTTTCTCTCGCTGACACTCCGATCGAGAACTGCTGACTGACGAGGAGACAAACAGGAAGACAGATATGTAGAAAGGAAATTACAGAGGTTCCTCCACTCCAGCTCACCAAAACATAGTGAAGGACACCACTGAAACAGCTACAGAAGAACTCAGACACACAGAGCCACAGACAGACCCTGTCTCCTACTCTCACGCCACCTGTCTGCCTCTCTGTCTCGCCAGCCTGTCTCTCTACCTTCTCCGTGGAGCTTGTGAGAGGAAGTTACACAACAACACAAGATGACTGTCTGCTCTGAAGCTGCCAGAGCAGTGCTGCCATTAGTGCGTCTGTGCTAGACCTTGCTGTCTGCACTGCAGCTGCTGCAGCTCTACTGTCTGCGCAGTGAGAGCTCGCTGTCTGCGCTGCAGCTGCGCAGTTAGACTTTGATATCTGTGATGCAGCTACTGCAGCTTTACTGTCTGCGCAGTGAGAGCTCGCTGTCTGCGCTGCAGCTGCGCAGTTAGACTTTGATATCTGTGATGCAGCTACTGCAGCTGTACTGTCTGCCCAGTGAGAGTTTGCTGTCCGCACTGCAGCTTCTGCAGGGGTGCGCTCAGATCTCCTCCCAGGCTGCACTCTTCCAGGGGACCATGCTGCTGCAGCAGGCCGCTGAGCTGTTTCAATGCTCTTCTATTATAATTGGTGGGGAGGAGAGCAGAGTGATGAAGCCAGTTCAGAGATGAGGATTATTAGGAGGCCATGATGGTTAAAGGCCAGGGGGAAATTTGGTCAGGACACTGGGGTAACACCCCTACTCTTTTTGAGAACCGCCCTAGGATTTTTAATGACCACAGGGACTCAGGACCTTGTTTTTTTGTCTCATCCAAAGAACGACACCTTTTTACAGTATAGTGTCCCCATCACTATACTGGGGGCATAAGGACCCACATAGACCATAGGGTGAAAGCCCCCTAATGGTTTCACTAACACCACCACTTTATTAAAGTCTGGCAGTGGATCAGAGTGAAAAGGCTAGGTAGCTCTGGCCTCAAGAACCGTAAAAGAGTCCCCTGCTGGTCAGGTGTGGGAATGCAGCTCTTGAAATCAGCTCAGGGCTGGAGAAGTGATTGTCCAATTATGGTTCCTCCATCACATTGAATTTCAGTGTCATACTACAAGCTTCTTAATATTTGCTAATTAATTCAATTATATGATTAAGTGAACAGTTACATCGCTGAGCATCCCTCACCTCTTGTACCTGTGTTCCTGTGTTTCTGTTTCCAGCGCAGAAGGCAGTAACACACTGCTATCACTGCCAGGACTGCAGCTATTGTCCCCACTGACATCAGCAACCACAGCCTCCAGCCTGCAGAGAGAGCAGAGTGGAGGGGGAAGGGTGAGAGCGGAGAGGGTCAGACGCTGTGAGAAAAAGGGGGCTCTCTCTCTGTTCTTGTGGTGTGGTTTGAACACTTGGTGCAAACAGGATGTGTTCTTTCATCTCTCTCTGTTCTCGTGATTGTCTGTAATACTTCTGATGTCACAGTGTGACCACAGCTATCAGACACAGAGCTGAGTGTGTGTTGGGCTCATAGCTGAGCTTGTGTTGTGCTCATAGCTGAGCTTGTGTTTTGCTCAGTGTTGAGTGTGTCTTGTGTTCAGTGCTGAGTGTGTGTTGTGCTCAGATTTGAGAGTGTGTTGGGCTCAGAGGTGAGTGTGTGCTGGGCTCAGAGCTGTGTGTTTTGTGCTCAGAGGTGAGTGTGTGTTGGGCTCAGAGCTGTGTGTGTGTTTTGCTCAGTGTTGAGTGTGTCTTGTGTTCAGTGCTGAGTGTGTGTTGTGCTCAGAGGTGAG